GAGCGCTTTCACAAAATATAAAAATCTTTGTATATGGGTGAAAAACAAAAAAATGGCACGAGTTTAAAAATTTTACATGTCGTAGGTACCCTACTTTGAGCCGCCACAGCGCCGTCCCTGGGGCATCTGCAGGGTTCATCTTCAAAACTTAAACTCGAATACTCCTTGGCTACGCTCACGCCAAATTTTATCCCGATCGGATCAGCCGTTTAGAAATGCCAGATTTATTTCCAAAAAATTTCCATTCTGCCCCACTGTGTGTCCCAAACGAAAAATCACCACAGAATGAGTAATTTCGAAAATTGTAAGTATTACTGAGCACGCAGGATTACGGGCAAAATTGGACGATCGGATTCAGACGAATGTAGAGCATGCGGAGAAGACAGTGAAATGCTGAAACACTTTCATTGTTATTACCAAGCTGTCTTCGAATTTAGATCCAAATATCCTCTAATCATTGTTAATCCAGATATTACATTCTATAGGAACAATTGAATTGGAAATTTTTGAGAAACTTCAGGAAACAAAGTTTCTGAACATTGCATGGCAATTCCTTTCATAGAACGTTATGCAAAAATTTTCAACCAAGCTTTTCCATGAATAGGAGCACACAATAGATCTATAGCATCCTAGGTAATATATGTAGATCATCGTCGCTCTAAACAAACAGAAACCGATCGAAACCTAATGCGAAGCACAATATCAAGGGAATTGTAATAGACAACTTCGGAAGAAAAATATTTGTTAAGGCCCTAAGATCCTTATAAGAATAATGGGAAATACCTTCCTTCCTACTTATATTCTTTAAATATATTGATTGGTGGTCGAATTTATTGTATAATCGTTTTATATGTATATAATTTTATCGAAAAAGTTTCAAAAAATAGAAAAACTTCCATAACAGTAGTCATAAGACCACCAACCTGTGGATTTCAAGATATCTTCAAATATATATAAATATATCTAAAAAAAGCACTAAATCAAACAGTCACAGTTCACAAAAAAAACTAAAAACAAACTTAACATCTCTAGTGAATTATTATATAAAATTCCGACAACTTTAAAACAAAACTATAGATTTATCTCTTTCTTTCGTAAGCTTTGCCAGGATGTGTGGGTTCAATTTATAAGGGTTTGAGGTAGGTTTTTTTTTGCTTTTCCTAATGTCTGACAACTAGTATAAAAAAAATTATTATTCTCTGTTTATTATTGTTAGTCTAGCCAGGTCATAATTACATACATTTGTACGTTTGTTTGTATTTACTTTGCTCTTAAAACTTTAACCTCTCTCGCTCTCATTGAGTATATTATAAGAGAATGTTTGACATAGAAGTCCTTGTTGCGTCTGCTCATACCCTACCCCCCTTTTCTGGCAAGCATATCAAGTAGGCAGTGATTGAACTTTTATCCTTCTGGTTGCTTCTTTCAGCTGTTTTTTTTTAGAGATTCACGAAAACAATTTTGTAAACATTTATAACAAAATAAAAAATCTAAACAGAAACAATATTTGAAACTGTTAGGGTTCTATAAATCGACTTTCGAATAATCGAACAATCGACTTTTTGTCGAAAAAAGTCGAAAAGTCGAAGTCGACTATTTTGTTCCAAAAAAGTCGATAACTCGACTATCGTCTATGAAAAAAGTCGAAAAGTCGACTTTGTAAATAAAAGTCGAAAAAAGTCGAAAAGTCGGAAAGTCGACAAAAGTCGAAAAGTCGAAAAAAGTCGAAAAGTCGAAAAAAGTCGATAAGTCGAAAAAAGTCGAAAAGTCGGAAAAAGTCGAAAAGTCGAAAAAAGTCAAAAAGTCGAAAATAGTCGAAAATTTTAAAAAAGTGGAAAAAAGGTCAAAAACTCTAAAATAGTCGGAAAAACTCGAAAAAAGTAAAAAAAATAGTCAAAAAAAGTCGAAAAAAAGTCGAAATTAGTCGAAAATAGTCAAAAAGTCGTAAAAAATCGAAAAGTCGAAAAAAGTCGAAAAAAGTCGAAAAAAGTCGGAAAAAGTCGAAAAAAGTCGGAAAAAGTCGAAAAAAGTCGGAAAAAGTCGAAAGGTCGAAAAGTCGACCATTTATAAAATACTAAAAGTCGAAAAGTCGACCATTTATAAAATACTAAAAGTCTAAAAGTCGACTTTTAAATAAATGAAAAAGGTCGAAAAGTCGAAAAATCGACTTTTCATAAAATGGAAAAAGTCGAAAGGTCGAAAAGTCGACTTTTAACTAAATGCAAAAAGTCGAAAAGTCGACTTTTCGTTTCAACTATAGAACCCTAGAAACTGTATACCTAAAGCAGAGATGGAAGTGTTTATTAAGAGGAATTTTTGGAAATACTTAAAGCAGAATATCTTCGGAGCTATTTATTAGGAACATTTAGTTTTCTATACAAAAATTTAATTAACAATTTACCCATTTTATAAACTTAATTTTCCTTCTCTGACATACTGTATAAGTACTTGAAAGTTTGTCACGTCATTTTTTTGTTTATATTGCTATATACATACATATATGTATATGTAAGTATCTATATAGGGATATACTTACATAAAGAGCCATCCCTATATATAGCTATAGATATAGTTCTATATATATTTGAACCATACCTCACTTGTGTTTGTATTGGATATATTTTTTGTTGTAGTATGTTTTTTTTTTTTCCTTCACGACCGGTAAAAAGGGAGAGTTATAAATGTCATTTACTAGTTTTAGTAAGTCGTTCATTACTTTGTTATTTATTTTGAAATTGGTCGGTTTTTCTGTGTGTAACTCTTGCTGTCTGTGTTTTTGTTTCTTCTTTCTCCCGCCGTCACATTTAAGCAGCTCATTGGTAGGGTAGTGTATGCTGTCAGTTGTTTGAATATATTGTCAAAATTTGTCCTTGCATGTCTTTAATATTATTAGTCAAATATTATGTAAAAGAAATGTTAATTATTTTAAATGTATTGTCAGTGTTCTCCTTTTCAGCCATATGTTCCTTTTTTGGGTAAATTGGCATTATTATAATTATTTTTTTTTGCAAAAATTTCATGACATTTGATTAATGAGTCGAAAAAATGTAAACATTATGTAGTTTAGGTGAGGATAGCAGAAGTACGACCAGACTATATGGTCGTCCTAAACGGTAAAAATTCTCTGACCTTTTGGCAAATAAATATTGCCCCACTGTGCAAATTTCTAGGGTTATGTTGTTCAGATTGTTGTGAAATACTTTTGTCCTTTGAAATCTTTTTGTAACTATTCGTAAGAAGAAAATTGGTAATACAAGAGAAAACTAATGAAAAGAAGATACTAAGAAGAGTGGAGAAGAATGTGATAAAACTATTGCTCTCAGTTCCTCGAAGCCCCGAGAACCAGTATTACCTCATGACTTATCCTAGTAATTTGTGCGGTTCCTTCAGGCTCCATGTAATTCCAATAACGGGAATAGAATGTTGTTTATAGCTCTGGTATATATGTATGTGTTGGCTACGTGACCTTGTGAAAGGAATGAACAAAAACAGTTGGTTATATATATACATCAGATCCGAAAAAATACACCTAAGCCGCTTTCGGACCGGTTTACATGTAAGAAGTTGCTGCAAAAACCTTATGACTCTTATTTAATTGCAGAAATGTCTTGTATTCTAGGGCGGATCTTTATGGCAAGAATGATAAACTGATATAAAACCTTCCTTTTTTGCCATACCTATGCTAGACGACACTGGATTAGTTAGATTAACAAAAACCTGTCGTTACTAAGCCATAAAGCTACCAATATGTCTCTAAATAGTTGTCATCAATAGAATGAAGGTCCTATACCTTAAAAACAGGAATGTCTGAAACATTTTGGATATTCTACAAGTGTAATAGACCACCGGAGTTTCGATTTTTTTCTGTCAACCGATTATCGATTTGCGAAATATTTCAAGTACGATCCATTAATTAGCAATTACATTTCGCCGAATCCTCTCATGTTCTGAAACTCAAATCAAATTCGACAGAGTATCATCGCTACGTTGAGACAGGGACTAAGGTTTTGGCTAAGAAGAGTCTCCACTCGAAAGAGGTCTCAAAGAAAGTGAAGATCTAAAGTTAGAGAAACAAAACATTAGAAAAACAAGAAAGAACATAGTTAAATAGGAGAAATGAATGGTAATAGGTCGATTCCTAAGAGGTATCAACTCAGAATATTTACCAAGTCGATTCCCTAAGGATAAAAAAGTGAGAGAATCTGAGTCTCCCTATAAAATGCAGTCAAAGAATGACTAATTCCCTTGATAAAACCTAATAGATTGTAATTTCCACCAGTTCGTCGTGGAACCTATTTACAAACCATTTCAATCTGAGATTCTGTATTCTATATCGAGAAGACCTCTAGTTCCTCTGTATCTTTGCATAACCTGCAATAGTCCGCTATATTAATGTCCCATTTACTAAAAAATTTCCTAATTAAGCAATGCCACGTAAGCATCACCGTAAGAATCATTAGACTGCTTCTATCTAGTTCTATAAGTTCTTGGTATTTTGCAATCCATTCTACTATTCCAGGACTGGTTGATGATGTATTCTCGACAATGACATGCCAATGGTCTAAGAGCAGCGTGACTATAAACCCTAGATCGATATACATAATTTCGTATGAGTTTCGTATGGTGGAATAAATGCAACTTCTTGATCATATCACATTCGAAAGACTTGTTTTTATTGCCCGTATTGACGGCATTAATTTCAGCCTCAAAAGATTGCAGGCCGAAGATAAACTGATGGAGAACACGAACTGCATGAGATAATCCTAAACCTATACACTTTAGTCCTACGTCCTACCTCCTAACTAAGAGGTTTTTTGTGAGCTTTATATCATTATATGTATGTATCAATGTTACGACAACGAATGTATAATATTTTATTTACACATAGTTCTTATTTTGACAACAATCGTTATCACTTTGACAACTTTAAACTGACAATGAGATATGTACTGTATTTCGAGATAAATCAGTTTTAAATATAATTTAATTCAAAATCTTACCTTTTATTGTTTTCCAAACAATTTTTTTGCTTTTTTTCTCTGACACAATTTCAAACTATTTGATTGTATTGCGTTTTATCAGGAGTTATAAAAACGTGATTATTTGCTGCATTCAATTTTAATTCCTCATTAATTTCGTGACATTAAGCATGCATTTGTAGGTTCCATGGTTTCGTAGAAATTCGATCAACATTGTTGCCAAATGCTGTGGAAATGTTGCTAATAATATACGGCCACAAAATGATTTGAAGCGATAAACTGCGTTTTTATTCAAAACGTTATTATTATTATTTTTTAATGTTTAAAAGGGCTTACAGGCATAATATTAATAATAATAACAATAAGGTGCGCAGTAACGGGTTACATACACATATGCAATTACATATGCACTATGTATGTGTGTAATTATATTTACTTGTGTTTGTATTTGTGCATTTTATATTTTATTCAGTTGGTTTTGGGTTTGTTGGTGGGTTTTCGGTTTGTTGACTTTGTTTTTCAACTCGTTTAGCGATTTATGATAATATATTTATATAAAAATATATATGAGAAGATTGTACTATAGTAAACTATGGAAAATCACAATAACAACAACAACAATTTTATAACACGATAAATATGAGTACTTGATACATGAACATTCATTCAAAATATACAGTGTCGATCAAAATTAAGAGAATAAAAATTGGTTTCGTAAATATTGAAATACCTTCCGAATTGTAGTTACTAAACATTTCACTAATTTTTTACTCTGTCGGTTCAAAGGTCAAATATTGAAATTTCACTAAAATTATATAGACTATAGACTAGACTTTAGACTAGACTATATACTTGACAAGACTTTAGATCAGACTATAGACTAGAACATAGACTAGACTATAGACTAGACTATAGACTAGACTATAGACTAGACCATAGACTAGACTATAGACTAGACTATAGACTAGACTTATAGACTAGACTATAGACTAGACTTATAGACTAGACTTATAGACTAGACTGTAGACTAGACTATAGACTAGACTATAGACTAGACTATAGACTAGACTATAGACTAGACTATAGACTAGACTATAGACTAGACTATAGACTAGACTATAGACTAGACTATAGACTAGACTATAGACTAGACTATAGACTAGACTATAGACTAGACTATAGACTAGACTATAGACTAGACTATAGACTAGACTATAGACTAGACTATAGACTAGACTATAGACTAGACTATAGACTAGACTATAGACTAGATAGACTAGACTATAGACTAGACTATAGACTAGACTATAGACTAGACTATAGACTAGACTATAGACTAGACTATAGACTAGACTATAGACTAGACTATAGACTAGACTATAGACTAGACTATAGACTAGACTATAAACTAGACTATAGACTAGACTATAGACTAGACTATAGACTAGACTATAGACTAGACTATAGACTAGACTATAGACTAGACTATAGACTAGACTAGACTAGACTATAGACTAGACTATAGACTAGACTAGACTATAGACTAGACTAGACTATAGACTAGACTATAGACTAGACTATAGACTAGACTATAGACTAGACTATAGACTAGACTATAGACTAGACTATAGACTAGACTATAGACTAGACTATAGACTAGACTATAGACTAGACTATAGACTAGACTATAGACTAGACTATAGACTAGACTATAGACTAGACTAGACTAGACTATAGACTAGACTATAGACTAGACTATAGACTAGACTATAGACTAGACTATAGACTAGACTAGACTAGACTAGACTATAGACTAGACTAGACTATAGACTAGACTATAGACTAGACTATAGACTAGACTATAGACTAGACTATAGACTAGACTATAGACTAGACTATAGACTAGACTATAGACTAGACTATAGACTAGACTATAGACTAGACTATAGACTAGACTATAGACTAGACTATAGACTAGACTATAGACTATAGACTAGACTAGACTAGACTATAGACTAGACTATAGACTAGACTATAGACTAGACTACTATAGACTAGACTATAGACTAGACTATAGACTAACTATAGACTAGACTATAGACTAGACTATAGACTAGGACTATAGACTAGACTATAGACCTAGACTATAGACTAGACTATAGACTAGACTATAGACTAGACTATAGACTAGACTATAGACTAGACTAAGACTAGACTATAGACTAGACTATAGACTAGACTATAGACTAGACTATAGAACTAGACTATAGACTAGACTATAGACTAGACTATAGACTAGACTATAGACTAGAACTATAGACTAGACTATAGACTAGACTATAGACTAGACTATAAGCTAGACTATAGACTAGCTATACTGATATAGACTAGACTATAGGACTAGACTATAGACTAGACTATAGACTAGACTATAGACTAGACATAGACTAGACTATAGACTAGACTATAGACTAGACTATAGACTAGACTATAGAACTAGACTATAGACTAGACTATAGACTAGACTATAGACTAGACTATAGACTAGACTATAGACTAGACTATAGACTAGACTATAGAATGACTATAGACTAGACTATAGACTAGACTATAGACTAGACTATAGACTAGACTATAGACTAGACTATAGACAGACTATAGACTAGACTATAGACTAGACTATAGACTAGACTATAGACTAGACTATAGAAACTAGACTATAGACTAGACTATAGACTAGACTATAGACTAGACTATAGACTAGACTATAGACTAGACTATAGACTAGACTATAGACTAGACTATAGACTAGACTATAGACTAGGGACTATAGACTAGACTATAGACTAGACTAATAAGACTAGACTATAGACTAGACTTAGGACTAGACTATAGACTAGACTATAGACTAGACTATAGACTAGACTATAGACTAGACTATAGACTAGACTATAGACTAGACTATAGACTAGACTATAGACTAGACTATAGACTAGACTATAGACTAGACTATAGACTAGGACTATAGACTAGACTATAGACTAGACTATAGACTAGACTATAGACTAGACTATAGACTAGACTATAGACTAGACATAGACTAGGACTATAGACTAGACTATTAGACTAGACTATAGACTAGACTATAGACTAGACTATAGACTAGACTATAGACTAGACTATAGACTAGACTATAGACTAGACTATAGACTAGACTATAGACTAGACTATAGACTAGACTATAGACTAGACTATAGACTAGACTATAGACTAGACTATAGACTAGACTATAGACTAGACTATAGACTAGACTATAGACTAGACTATAGACTAGACTATAGACTAGACTATAGACTAGACTATAGACTAGACTATAGACTAGACTATAGACTAGACTATAGACTAGACTATAGACTAGACTATAGACTAGACTATAGACTAGACTATAGACTAGACTATAGACTAGACTATAGACTAGACTATAGACTAGACTATAGACTAGACTATAGACTAGACTATAGACTAGACTATAGACTAGACTATAGACTAGACTATAGACTAGACTGTAGACTAGACTATAGACTAGACTATAGACTAGACTGTAGACTAGACTATAGACTAGACTATAGACTAGACTATAGACTAGACTATAGACTAGACTATAGGACTAGACTATAGACTAGACTATAGACTAGACTATAGACTAGGACTATAGACTAGACTAGACTAGACTATAGACTAGACTATAGACTAGACTATAGACTAGACTATAGACTAGACTATAGACTAGACTATAGACTAGACTATAGACTAGACTATAGACTAGACTATAGACTAGACTATAGACTAGACTATAGACTAGACTATAGACTAGACTATAGAACTAGACTATAGCACTAGACTATAGACTAGACTATAGACTAGACTATAGACTAGACTATAGACTAGACTATAGACTAGACTATAGACTAGACTATAGACTAGACTATAGACTAGACTATAGACTAGACTATAGACTAGACAATAGACTAGATATAGACTAGATATAGACTAGACTAGCTAGACTAGACTATAGATAGACTATAGACTAGACTATAGACTAGACTAGACTATAGACTAGACTATAGACTAGGACTATAGACTAGACTATAGACTAGACTATAGACTAGACTATAGACCTAGACTATAGACTAGACTATAGACTAGACTATAGACTAGACTATAGACTAGACTATAGACTAACAATTCCATTCCATTGCATAAAAATGGTGTAGACATTTTCAAATTTTAACTATTTTATCAAATTTTTCCCACAAAATGGAAAATTTACAATTTTTATTCAACAAAATTTTGCACAACACTGTACTTACACACGATTACAATATTTATAACGAAGTGTGTATTTTCTTTTTTTATTTATACCCGATAACAGCAAAATTATATTGAATTAATTTTTCTTTTTTACTTTTTTTACTTTTTTTCTACAGATGTTTGTATTTTTATTATTATTTTATATAATAAAACATTGCAGCAACACAGTGCAATTTTTTGCGGTTTACAATATGTTTTGAGGTTATATTTTCTTTTTTCTTTTAATTTTGTTTTTGTATTTTTGTGTTATCACTGTAATTCACTTCACTTTATACAATTTAACATGAAATTCTCCTGATTTGTATGATGATGACTTTTATTGAAAAAAAAAGAAAGAAAAACTGAAATAAATTAACATATTAACACTGCACTATATTATAATTTGAGTTCTTTATTGTTGTACGATATCAATTGTCACAAATAGTGATTGAGAAAAGTATAGCAGTAATGGTTTAGAAGCGGGAAAAGTTTTACCCACTTTTCAAAATTGACAATTAATTAGAACATTTAATTTATTATCATGAAAAATAATGTCTTTTTAAGAACCACACTATTGTTTTGTAGGTTTGTAAGTATTTTCTTAATCTTATCAAAAGATTACACATATATTTTGCTAATTCTGCTATTATTATATCAGCACCTGTATATTTATATGCATACAAGTATAGAGTACGGTTACTAGTGATTGTTGCTGCACAAACTTAAATACACGTAGTTTGCAATTTAACTGTAACGATACGGCTCTCAGAATTTCAGATACAAATACATACGTATAAGTAGTAAAAATATGTAATTACCACGCATGAACTATAGTTCTAATATTAGGTGTAAACGGTCTAGATTTGAGGAAAGATTTCAAATCAAATGTACTAGATTTCAGTGTAGAGTAAATGGGACATTTATTATAGAAGTTTTCAAGACGGATAGCTAAAGATATCAAAGAATAGGAAGGATATATCTTAGTTATATCGGAAGTCAGACATTCTGCACAGATCGCTTTTCTCGCCAATAAGGGCGTTATTTATCGGACAAGAACTTTTCTTTGTTATCCTTCATAGATATCCTCTCTCTCTGAGGAAGATAAGAAACATTTGATACAAAATTTCTAATGGACTATATCGATAATGACATGAGATTGGCCGAATGACGATCTTTCAGAAAGCTCGATAAATCAAGAGAATTTTTTACCAACATCAAAAACAATTAGTTCTGATAAAAGTGCATCATGTTATGACCGAATGAATGCAATAGAAATCAGAAAAAAAATATTTTCCTAAATCTTACTCCAAGTTCTTCACCAACTATTCAATTCCATTTTATCTGCAATTTTAACTTTCCAAGCCCACTGTTTAATGGAAGTCTGTAAAGGTTTGTTTTGAACATTTAAAAAAAAACAACATATTTAAGGAAAAAAAGTCTAAAATGTTGTTGACGTTTTTTCTCCAAACACGAAAATGCACAACCAAACAAATGCATCTATATAAATAATGTTTGCAACGCACTATAATTGGTAACGGTATATTGCATTTGAGCCTGATGTTTGTAACTCTCATATGTCAAATCTACCGAATTGATTTGAATTATTTTCTATGTCTATGGACAATCTTATATGGATTAGTCTATGACTACTCTACTATGGACTATTGCTTTGACTAGTTTTTGGATTAGTCTATGTTCTATTCTTTGAACTTGTCCATGTTCTACTGTATGGACTATAGACTACTGTAGACTACTATATGGACTAGTCTATGTATTACTCCACGTCTTCTCTAGTGTCCAGTCTACTGTAGTGTATAGGAACTAGCTTACCGACTAGTCAGGGGATTAGTTTAAGGTCTAATATATTTCTATTCTAGGAATAAATCTATTGAATAGACTAGTCTATTAACCGACCTTTGGTCAAGTCTTTGGACTATACTGCTGCCCAATATAGGGATGACTCTAGTGACTAATTAAGGGACTAGTCTATTGACAAGTTTAGGGAATACATTGGTGACAAATCTATAGACCAGCCTTGGGACTAATCTTTGGATCTTTCTCTGACGTAATCTATGGACTATTTTATTGGCTAGTTTAGGGACTAGTTCATTTACTAGTCTATTAACTAGTGTAGGGATTAGTCTATTCTCTAGTCTATAGACTGGTTTAAAGACTAGTTCATTCACTAGTCTATTGCCTAGTTTAGGGACTACATTATTCACTAGTCTATCGGCGATCTAGTATACAACTAGTCTATTCTTTGAACTAGTCAATGTTCTACTGTATGGAGTATAGACTACTGTAGACTACTATATGGTGTAGTCTATGTTATACTCTATGGACTATTCTCTGGACATAGATTGTATTAATTCCCGACTTCTCTAGTCTACTGTATTGTATAGGAACTAGCTTACCGACTAGTCAGGGGACTAGTTCAAGGTCTAATATCGGTCAAGTCTTTTGACTATTCTGCTGCCTAATCTAGGGATGACTCTAGTGACTAGTTAAGGACCTAGTCTAGTTGATAAGTTTAGAGAATACATTGTTGTCAAATCTATAGGCCAGCCTTGGGACTAATCTTTGGATATTTCATTGGCGTAATCTATGGACTATTCTATTGGCTACTTAGAGACTAGTTTCATTTACTAGTCTATTGACTAGTGTAGAGATTAGTCTATTCACTAGTATTTTGACTAGTTTATAGACTAGTTCATTCACTAGTTTAGGACTACAGTTTAGTTTAGGGACTATACTATTCACTAGTCTATTGAGTACATTAGGGACCCATTGAGTAGTCAAAGATCGAGTAGATACACTAGTTTATGGTCTAGTTAATGGACGATGCTATTTGTTATTATATGGATTAGCCTATTTACTAGTCTATAAACTATTCTATGATATAGTTATTTATTTATTCTATGGACTAGTCTATGGACCATTCTACAGATTAGTATATGGTCCTGTCTGGAGTGAAGTACTCTATGCACTAGTTTATACTGTTTTTTGTTATCAAAAGGTGTTGAAAAAAGTACAATCGTACTAAATTGGTCATCCTCGATGTAGGGTATTCTATAGCCGAGCTGCATGAACTTTACTTTCTTACTTGTTTTATTTTGTATATTTGGATAGAAGTGGAATGAAAACAACAACAAAAAAGGTACCCCACTCACCTAACTCACTAATAACAACAACAACAGCAGTGGAAAAACAAGATGACAAACGGACAAGACGAAGAAAAGTGAGAGTATGTAGTTTGCAACTATGTACATTTGTATGTAGTTAAATGTAAATATGTATACACAACTTATATACAAACAATCTATACATACATTTGTACTTACTCTCTATACTTTAAATAAATTAATGTAAGCTTTATCAAACCAACAACAAAAAAACAATACATACAAACAAACCTACAATTGATATAACAAAACAAACAAATAGAAAAAAGCTTCTCTTTTTTTATTTAACCACTGTGTTTGTTATGATGATGATAATAATGACGATGATTTTTCCTTTTAATTATTTAAATAAACATTTGCAAATTTTTTAAATAAAAGTTTAATGAAATTATTTCAAAATTTTATTATTTATGTACTTCACTTTTCACTGTACCACACTTTAGTAATAATTAAACATTATACATAAAATATGTATTTTATTTTTCTTTTATAATTTATAATTTATATTATATATTTTTGTTTTATAATTTAAACAAATATTGTTTAATTTTGTGTGTTTGAATATTGTTTGTTTTTATTATGAGAAATAAACTTTTCTGTAATCATTCTAGCGTTTAATTATTATTTTTAAAATAGTTTTTTTTTTTAAATTTTTATTAATATTTTTTATTTTCTTAATACACGTTATTATTTGTTTGCGTATGCTTCCTGTCAAGGTTTATTGCGTTTTAAAACAGAAAAGTCCAATACATTGCAAAAAATGTATTTCAGCTTGTTGTTGGTTGTATCACACAATATGTATGTATGTGCCCACCATACCTACTCTACTCTTTGCTACACACCATCAAAACAAAACAGTGGGATGGATGGTTGGATGTGGATATACGAAGTATGTTTGTTGGTGTGCATTGTTGTTGCTTCTAAAAATTTTGACATAGGAGGCCTTAATGTACTTAAACTTGTACATTTGGGGAGAAAATATAAATGGTATTAGTATGTGCGAACATTTTAAATTAGTTAGCTAGTTAGTTAATTAGTTAGTTAGTTAGTTAGTTAGTTAGTAGTTAGTGTAGTTAGTTAGTAGTTAGTTAGTTAGTTAGTTAGTTAGTTAGTTAGTTAGTTAGTTAGTAGTAGTTAGTTAGTTAGTAGTTAGTAGTAGTAGTAGTTAGTTAGTTAGTTAGTAGTTAGTTATAGTTAGTTAGTTAGTTAGTTAGTTAGTTAGTTAGTTAGTTAGTTAGTTAGTTAGTAGTAGTTAGTTAGTTAGTTAGTAGTTAGTTAGTTAGTTCGTTAGTTAGTTAGTTCGTTAGTTAGTTAGTAGTTAGTTAGTTAGTTAGTTAGTTAGTTAGTGTAGTTAGTAGTTAGTTAGTAGTTAGTTAGTTAGTTAGTTAGTTAGTTAGTAGTAGTTAGTAGTTAGTTAGTTAGTTAGTTAGTTAGTAGTTAGTTAGTTAGTAGTTAGTTAGTTAGTTAGTTAGTTAGTTAGTTAGTTAGTTAGTTAGTTAGTTAGTAGTTAGTTAGTTAGTTAGTTAGTTAGTTAGTTAGTTAGTTAGTTTAGTTAGTTAGTAGTTAGTTAGTTAGTTAGTTAGTTAGTTAGTTGTAGTTAGTTAGGTTAGTTAGTTAGTTAGTTAGTTAGTTAGTTAGTTAGTTAGTTAGTTAGTTAGTTAGTTAGTTAGTTAGTTAGTTAGTTAGTTAGTTAGTTAGTTAGTTAGTTAGTTAGTTAGTTAGTTAGTTAGTTAGTTAGTTAGTTAGTTAGTTAGTTAGTTAGTTAGTTAGTTAGTTAGTTAGTTAGTTAGTTAGTTAGTTAGTTAGTTAGTTAGTTAGTAGTTAGTTAGTTAGTTAGTTAGTTAGTTAGTTAGTTAGTTAGTTAGTTAGTTAGTTAGTTAGTTAGTTAGTTAGTTAGTTAGTTAGTTAGTTAGTTAGTTAGTTAGTTAGTTAGTTAGTTAGTTAGTTAGTAGTTAGTTAGTTAGTTAGTTAGTTAGTTAGTTAGTTAGTTAGTTAGTTAGTTAGTTAGTTAGTTAGTTAGTTAGTTAGTTAGTTAGTTAGTTAGTTAGTTAGTTAGTTAGTTAGTTAGTTAGTTAGTTAGTTAGTTAGTTAGTTAGTTAGTTAGTTAGTTAGTTAGTTAGTTAGTTAGTTAGTTAGTTAGTTAGTTAGTTAGTTAGTTAGTTAGTAGTAGTTAGTTAGTTAGTTAGTTAGTAGTTAGTTAGTTAGTTAGTTAGTTAGTTAGTTAGTTAGTTAGTTAGTTAGTTAGTTAGTTAGTTAGTTAGTTCGTTAGTTAGTTAGTTAGTTAGTTAGTTAGTTAGTTAGTTAGTTAGTTAGTTAGTTAGTTAGTTAGTTAGTTAGTTAGTTAGTTAGTTAGTTAGTTAGTAGTAGTTAGTTAGTTAGTTAGTTAGTTAGTTAGTTAGTTAGTTAGTTAGTTAGTTAGTAGTTAGTTAGTTAGTTAGTAGTTAGTTAGTTAGTTAGTTAGTAGTTAGTTAGTTAGTAGTTAGTTAGTTAGTTAGTTAGTTAGTTAGTTAGTTAGTTAGTTAGTTAGTTAGTTAGTTAGTTAGTTAGTTAGTTAGTTAGTTAGTTAGTTAGTTAGTTAGTTAGTTAGTTAGTTAGTTAGTTAGTTAGTTAGTTAGTTAGTTAGTTAGTTAGTTAGTTAGTTAGTTAGTTAGTTAGTTAGTTAGTTAGTTAGTTAGTTAGTTAGTTAGTTAGTTAGTTAGTAGTTAGTTAGTTAGTTAGTTAGTTAGTTAGTTAGTTAGTTAGTTAGTTAGTTAGTTAGTTAGTTAGTTAGTAGTTAGTTAGTTAGTTAGTTAGTTAGTTAGTAGTTAGTTAGTAGTTAGTTAGTTAGTTAGTTAGTAGTATTTAGTTAGTTAGTTAGATAGTTAGTTTTCTTCAGTTTTTACTTAACACTTTAATAGTTGGAATGTGGAATCTTTTTCTCTTTAGGTTGGACGTCCTCGTCGAAGATGCGTTCCAAAATGTCAAGTTTTGGGATGTCGGGTATTTTCCTTTGTATCAAAGAAGTTTCATACTCATGACTTTATTAGTAAAATTGGTGGTTCCTTTGGTTGTATTTTTATTGAAAAGCTAACATTTTAAAGATGAACATTTTAAAAGTACCAATGTCTTCAAATTTGTACCATTTTGGATATTAAATCCATCAACACATCCATTCAGTTACATAGGCATCGTTTATAAACAAAACAATAACATTTTATTACTCTCCTGGCAGAAGAGAGAGTTTGTTTGTTTTTAAATTGCTCGTCTCTTTGATTCTTACTGGAAATTTTTGTTTGGTTTCTATTTATTTATTGCGCGCTCTCTCTTTCTAGCTATCTCTCGAAATATCTTTTGAATATTTTTGTTTTCTTCTTTCTTTTGGATTGTTTTGCTAGTTTTTTTATCGGTTAAATTTTTTTTATTTTTGCAAATGTATCTTTTACTTATGTGTGTATGTGTGAATGTGTTTGCATATTTCGCAGTACGTCAAATTGTTAATTGCATGTTAGGCCTCTGCCAGCAGAGCAAAAGCAACAGCAACGACTAGCAATAATTCAAATTTATTGAATAAAAACTTGTTGTTTTTTTTTTATTAATAGCGGCTTTTTGTAGTTAAACAAGGATGGCTCTGTTTACTAAAATTGTATGCTTCTCGTTTGTTTTGTAAATTATTATTTATTATTCGGCATTTTATTAATTTTAATGTGTTGGTGTAAGAAAATAAGTTGATTTTGTTTTCTCTTTAGTTTTATCTTTTATTCTTTCACTCGCACTTATTGAAATGTGGTAGAAAAGCGCTCTTAGAAATTGTTCATTGTTTTTTTAAAGAGAATTCGTTAATAATTTCGCGGCAATTGTTATTAACGGTAAAAGGTTGCCATGTTAAAAAAACATTATAAATTTCATTAGAGTCTATTTATATACCCTACATTACTACAGTGGGGATGACAAGAATAAACGCATATTACACTGCGTACTGTAGTATAGCATAACTAACTAAATAACTAACTAGCTAAATAACTAACTAGCTAAATAACTAACTAGCTAAATAACTAACTAGCTAAATAACTAACTCACTAACAAATTAACTGAAAGGAAGTAATCGTTCAGACTAGGATATAACGATTAAGTACGATATTGGAGACTACGCAATTGAAATATGAAACACTTTGAGGGCTCACTATGGATCATATATTTTGACTCACACGAACTTCTGTGGCCCTAATTAAAACTTAACTCTTCCTCAGCTGTCACAGACATTATAATATTTGCAGATGAATAGATTAAAGAGACATTACCATTTCCTCTGGTTTCTAAATCTAGAGGATTTTTTCATTAACGGCTGACCAGAATTACTTACTTGTTCTATGGAACCGTTTCTGGTTGTTAGTGACTCAAGTGAACAGGGACAAAGATATGATTTAAGCCCTGATAGTTTTGAGTGGCAATGTAGTTTATTGCTGTAGTGATAATGTGACTTTTCCGGAAATGACTATAGACTATGAAAGGCTTGACTATAGGCTTGAATATAGACTAGAGCACAGAATATAAAAGACTAGACTATAGATCAGATTATAGACTAAACTTTGAATATACTATAGATTGGGCTATAGACTATAGATTTGAATATGACTAGACTATAAACTAGATAATAGACTACACTAAACCATAGACTGGATTATAGACTAGTCTAAAGACTACACTATAGACAAAACCCAAGTCTAGACTGTTGGCAAAACTATAGACTAGTCTATAGATACTACATAATAGACTATAGTAAAACTCTAGACTGGTTTTAAACTCGACTATAGACTAGCTTTTGGACTTAACTATAGAATAGATTATAGACAAGACTATAGACTACAATATTGTCCAGACTATAGACTACAACATTGAAAAGACTACTACTACTATGATTTTTAGAATATGGCTAATTTTGATTCTTAGTTATTTGTAAATTAGAAACTTACCTTACTAAATAATTGTTTCGAAATTAAAAAATTTAAATTTCTCTTGAATTGTGTTAAGGAATCTGATTGGCTTTTTTTGTAATATTTTTTATTAGGCAAAGTGAAAAGAAAGCTTTTTTTTGCAAGTCTAATTCATGAATATATATTGTATATGTATGAATGAATGAATGATGAGTGTTAATTACTATATATAACATCTCAGACCTTTAAGAATGAGATTTAGAATAGCTTCAAAATAAAAACATTACAGTAAAGAAAACAATATGTGATAAGAATAATTGACGACTTTTGCGTCTATACTTGAAAAATATGAATCAATTAATCACGACAGCTATTCTTTCTTTTCAGCTGACTTATCTTCTTCCTCCTTCTTGACTTCGGCCGAGGAATCCTTAGTTTTAGAGCTGGTGGGCGAGGACATGGTAGCACCAGCTGGTAGAGCTTTCTCCAAAGCCTTAACAAACTCCTCCAAATTACCGGAATAGGCGGCGGCCACAGCTTCGGGGGTAAGTTCAAATTGTGAGACTACGGGACCCAATTGAGCCGACTGCAAGGCATTCGAAAATAGCGAGAGGGCCTGTTGGAATTGAGGTGAAGCTATGGTGTCTTTAATCTGTTGCTTTTTATCCTCATCGGCATCTTCAGTCTCGGGCAGGTGAACGGATAGAGTATTGACACGCTCGGGATCGGATATGAGATCGTTGACAATTTCGGAACCAGCCAAAGCGGATGATAGATCAATGTTGAGTGAACGACCGGAGCCAGCTTCGGGTGAGAGGTTGGATAAGTAGGATTGGAATGCATTGGTGGGTGTGAAAATATTAGATGTTGATGATTTCTTACCACCAGCTGTTGAATTACCGGAACCAGCGCTGCTGCCACCACTATTGTCGGCACTTGAAGAGCCACCACTCTTGCTGCCTTTAGCCTTTGGAGCTGAAGGGGTACGAGGGGCGGAGGAAGTATTCTCAGGGGTTAAAAGGCCACCAGCAGAGCTAGTGCTGGTGCGATTGGGTGTACGAGAATTGTCCGAAGAGCGGCTATTAAAAGTAACAAATTAATAAATATATAAAAATCTTGTTAAAGAACCTACTTCATGGAACCCAACAAAGAGCTAAGACCACCCATTTGTCCTACGCCACCAAACAGCTGCATTAATTGTTGCTGTGACATGTTATTTAACATGTACTGCAAATCACCACCATCCTGGCCGCCTCGAGTGGCCGAAGGAGGATTATTCATAATTTCATTAACACGACGGCACAATTCTTCATCTTTGTCGGTTTTGGTTTCCTGCATCCAGAAGAACATACGACGACTGGAGGTCTTGAATTTCAAAACATAAACACGACCAGTCTTGCACTGTTCCACACGTTTAAACTCAAAATCATCAGGAAATACAATCAAATCATCTTCAACCTTTAATACGGAACAAAAAAAACTTAACACTTGAAGCAGTTAGTTCTAAAATTAGCAACTCACCTTGCCGGTAGTGCGATCCTTCCAACAGAAATGCATTAAGCCATCATCACTTTGCGTTAAATATACTAAACCTTTGCGTGTATCGGGATGCACCATCTTGCCTATTAAATTCATTCTTCCGGCACGAAATTCCACCAAATTGGAACCACTGCCACCGCTACTACTAAGACCACTTTGACGCCCAAACATTTTGCTATTTTTTTTTTAATATGACTCTAAAATAACGAGAAAATTAATTGATTTGTTATATTTTGCAGCGTAATTTATAAACCTTTTTGAAGGCAATTAGTGTTGTTTTGTAGAAATGTTTAATTTATTTTTTGCACAGCTTTGCACAAAAAACTTCTTATAATTTTGAATGACCAGCAGTTTTCAGCACACTGCGCCGACAAAGAGGAGCGGCGACGGCGTCTGAAACTAAAAATTTCGGCGGCGGCTTAAAATCGACTGTAAGCCCACTAAGTTTTCAGAGTTGTTTTGAAAAAAAAAAAAAAAAAATGGAATCCGAGTGATTAAAAAGTGGGCCTTTTATGTAACTATTTTAAAAATCTTTATTTTTAAAGTTGTCATATATTAAATCGGGAATTATTACATTTTCTATAATATTGAACATAGAAATATGAGTCATGAGTAAATAAAGGTACTTTTTCGAAAATCTCTAGAACAGTATTTTTCTTACTTATTCGTTCTTTAACTGGTACTTTTTTGTTTTTATGTAATATTGAACCTAGACTCATATTTAAAGCCCCATGTACACGAGCACATAAGTAATATGATCTGTCAAAATTTTGTGTATAAAGCGACACGGCCACACATCAAATTTGTTTGACTCAAACGGTAAGTTTTTTGATTGTGTTAGTGAAAAAACTCACATGTATATGTGCGGTGTGAGTTTTTTACTAACACAATCAAAAAACTTACCGTTTGAGTCAAACAATTTGATGTGTCGCCATGGCGCTGAAGAGTACGGATGGGATCGTCTAAACCATAACACATTGAGAGAAAATACGGATGCAAAATTTGACAGTGAGCCATACCACTTCATTTTTTTGAAATGATTCAATAAACAAGCAAGTCGCATTAGATCAGGGATGTAATTTTGTGTAAACACATACAAAAAAGTAAAACAGCTATTTCCATCTTAATTTGTTTTTTTTATACCAAAAAGTATAAATTATACGACTTTTATTCTCTTTTTTGTCATACGGATGGAATTTCACTTTACTATTTCATTCGACTTTACATACATAAAGTGTGATAGTGTAAAGGGCCCTTAAAAGGAAACATTTTGGTAATTTTTTTTTTTTTTTCAAAAAGTACATTTTGGATTTTCTATAAAGCAGTATGGTCACACGTCAAAATTTTGATTAAAATTATATGTGTATGCGGTTTATGCTTCATCTGCTTCAATAATTGCTAAACAAATATTGATAAAAGTTTTGACGTGTGGCCATACGGATTTACATTAAACCTAGAAATATAAATATTAAAATCTCCAGAAAATTATTTTTCGTTCTTTAATTGGTACTTTTTGGAAGAAAATGTAAAAGAAATTTAAAAGTTATTTTATTAGCAAAAAAATAATAGCTGGATTACAACGATTTATGATTTCAAGCAAAAAGTAGCGTTTTTTAATTTGTTTATCAAAGAGCAGCACTGTTTTATTAAACTAACTTGGCGGCACTTTCTAACTTGCATTCGTGAGAAATTTTCTCTCGTCTTCAGCAGCACACACTTCATTTGTCGGATTTTTTTGTGAAAATAATTGTCATTTTTCATTGAAAATTTCAATTATTTATTAATAATTTTGTGATATTTCTACTAATTAAACTGTGTTTCGAAGAAATTCAGCAAAAATTCCTAGGAATTTCAAGGAAATATTCACGAAAATCAAGCTGGAAAAAATTGGCAAATAGGTAATTTTTTTGTGTTCGTCTACAACAACTACAATTTGAATTAACGAAGTCATTGTATGAAGAAAAAAGGTGAGTAGTGACGAAAAAGAAAAAAAAGTAGCACAAAAAATATGAAGATAAATGCAATAACAAAAAAACAAGTTTTCAGTTTTTTACATATATAAAGGCTTTTAAAAAAAATTAAATAAATATTTCTTTTGTTTTCATTTGCAGGCTTTGTGTTTCATTAAATAGAAAAGTGTGTGTGTGTTTTTAACATATATAATATATAACCCCCAAAAATCTTTTGAAAATAATTTCACTCGTGTTTTTTTGTGTGCAAATTCTCCAACAAAAAAGGGTAAAAAATTTAAGAGTTTTTTAAGTTTTCGTTTAAAGAAAAGAGAGAAAAAAACAGCAGTTTGTGTATTTTAAGAGCAAGATTTAATTGAAACGGAAAAAAGTGACAACGCAACAAAATAAAGAAGAAAGAAAGCAAGCAACAAAAACAACCAGCTGAACAAAACGAACGAATTTAAGTAAAGTGAAAAATAAAACAATAAAACAAATATTGGACAACAAATTCGAAAGGAAAACAAAAACAAAAAGGTGCGTAACAAAATGGTAAAAAAAAACCTAACTGAAAAAAATGTTATATATAAAATGATGCTCCAAAATGGGTTCCATAACCAGCCAGCCTTGTATTTTTATTTACTGACGAAGTAAAGCGCTTATATACTTGTGTACATACATATGCATAACTTGTATTTTGTTTTTTTTTTTTTTTTTTTGTTAAATTTCTCTAAATATTATATGTAGATTTTTTTGTTGGTTTTTTATTTTAAAGCCACGCCATTACTAGCGAGGAGCCTAGTATTTTAAATTTAAAAAGTATCTATACAATTTAAGTTTTTTGGTGTTTTTGTTGTGTGTTTTGAATTTATAATTTCTTAAGTTTTTTATATAATTGCACTTACATACTGTTTGTGTTAATTTTTCTTGCCTTCTGTCATATTTTTTTCATATTTATGGTCAATTAATACATTTTTATTGTATTGATGAAATAATTCAGCTGCTAAATTAGTTTTGTGTATGTATTTTATTAAATGTCATAGCATTGTTTAACAGTTTGAATATTTAAATGGCATGTTTAAGCTTTTAACCAAACTTTTCTGCATTATTATAAAAAATTTATTGAGTTTTAAATACTCCCGAAAAAGTTAACTTTCAAGCCTTTGGGACTGTGTGAAAAAGTGAAAAACTGACGGAGTTACTACAAGGTATATTTTGTTATTATTTCTGGCATTCTGGCACGTTTATACGGCATATAGGGAAAATCTTTAAATATAAATATCCATTAGCATCGAAAAAAATCGATATCGAACAAAATGTCATGCAGGTTCAGTTACTATTTTTACTGAACATTGCTTGTTTCTTTTACTGGTAACACACTTACATACATCAGTATTTAAAAATGATTTCTATTAACTTTCTTATTCAGTTCCAATTCTGTTTTGTTACTTAAAGTTCTATTTCAATTCTAGTTTATTCATGTATACTTTAATTATTCCCTTCACCTTCGTGAGAAGGGTCTGTTTGTCCGCATGGTTGTTTTAAACAATTTTCTGCAGGCCTCAGAAAAGGATCCAAATTTGTTCAGACATGTTTTCAAAAGGTTTTTCTAGTTCCGTGGTTCTAGTTTAGTAGTAGATCTCTTCTAGTTCAGTTCTACTTCATTTTATTTAGTTCTAGTTCAGTTCAGTTCTAGTTCAGTTCTAGTTCAGTTCTAGTTCAGTTCTAGTTCAGTTCTAGTTCAGTTCTAGTTCAGTTCTAGTTCAGTTCTAGTTCAGTTCTAGTTCAATTCTAGTTCAGTTCTAGTTCAGTTCTTGTTCAGTTCTAGTTCAGTTCTAGTTCAGATCTAGTTCAGTTCTAGTTCAGTTCTAGTTCAGTTCTAGTTCAGTTCTAGTTCAGTTCTAGTTCAGTTCTAGTTCAGTTCTAGTTCAGTTCTAGTTCAGTTCTAGTTCAGTTCTAGTTCAGTTCTAGTTCAGTTCTAGTTCAGTTCTAGTTCAGTTCTAGTTCAGTTCTAGTTCAGTTCTAGTTCAGTTCTAGTTCAGTTCTAGTTCAGTTCTAGTTCAGTTCTAGTTCAGTTCTAGTTCAGTTCTAGTTCAGTTCTAGTTCAGTTCTAGTTCAGTTCTAGTTCAGTTCTAGTTCAGTTCTAGTTCAGTTCTAGTTCAGTTCTAGTTCAGTTCTAGTTCAGTTCTAGTTCAGTTCTAGTTCAGTTCTAGTTCAGTTCTAGTTCAGTTCTAGTTCAGTTCTAGTTCAGTTCTAGTTCAGTTCTAGTTCAGTTCTAGTTCAGTTCTAGTTCAGTTCTAGTTCTAGTTCTAGTTCAGTTCTAGTTCAGTTCCAGTTCAGTTCATGTTCAGCTCTAGTTCAGTTCAATTGTAGTTTAAATCTAAAATTATTATTCTAGAATCTGGAATTCCACAAGAAATATCAATTAAAACCGCATCGTACAAAATGTTCGTGTTGTTATCACGAAGACTTGCGATAATTTTTAAATCTAATTTAGCTTTATTCATATAAATTATATATTTCAACTGAAAACTACTTATTTTTATATAAGCCTAGAGTTAATTACTATTATGTCTCAACCACAAATTGTATGCATCACCAATTACACATTAAAAATGCGTGTATACATACATACAATTAATTAAACAAGGTTATACAATTAGAGAAAGAAAAATAAAAACTAAAAATTAGTGGTATTCACTACATACACAACACTAATCAGCCATAGAGTAGAAAATTTTCCTTATGGCCAAAACTTGATGAAAAAGAACCTAAAGTACTTATTGGACTGGATAGGTGTAGTCTTAGGACTCTGATAGGGCCATTGTTAGCAAAGGGTACATGTTTGAACTAGCACTGAACTAGAACTGAACTAGAACTGAACTAGAACTGAACTAGAACTGAACTAGAACTGAACTAGAACTGAACTAGAACTGACTAGAACTGAACTAGAACTGAACTAGAACTGAACTAGAACTGAACTAGAACTGAACTAGAACTGAACTAGAACTGAACTAGAACTGAACTAGAACTGAACTAGAACTGAACTAGAACTGAACTAGAACTGAACTAGAACTGAACTAGAACTGAACTAGAACTGAACTAGAACTGAACTAGAACTGAACTAGAACTGAACTAGAACTGAACTAGAACTGAACTAGAACTGAACTAGAACTGAACTAGAACTGAACTAGAAACTGAACTAGAACTGAACTAGAACTGAACTAGAACTGAACTAGAACTGAACTAGAACTGAACTAGAACTGAACTAGAACTGAACTAGAACTGAACTAGAAACTGAACTAGAACTGAACTAGAACTGAACTAGAACTGAACTAGAACTGAACTAGAACTGAACTAGAACTGAACTAGAACTGAACTAGAACTGAACTAGAACTGAACTAGAACTGAACTAGAACTGAACTAGAACTGAACTAGAACTGAACTAGAACTGAACTAGAACTGAACTAGAACTGAACTAGAACTGAACTAGAACTGAACTAGAACTGAACTAGAACTGAACTAGAACTGAACTAGAACTGAACTAGAACTGAACTAGAACTGAACTAGAACTGAACTAGAACTGAACTAGAACTGAACTAGAACTGAACTAGAACTGAACTAGAACTGAACTAGAACTGAACTAGAACTGAACTAGAACTGAACTAGAACTGAACTAGAACTGAACTAGAACTGAACTAGAACTGAACTAGAACTGAACTAGAACTGAACTAGAACTGAACTAGAACTGAACTAGAACTGAACTAGAACTGAACTAGAACTGAACTAGAACTGAACTAGAACTGAACTAGAACTGAACTAGAACTGAACTAGAACTGAACTAGAACTGAACTAGAACTGAACTAGAACTGAACTAGAACTGAACTAGAACTGAACTAGAACTGAACTAGAACTGAACTAGAACTGAACTAGAACTGAACTAGAACTGAACTAGAACTGAACTAGAACTGAACTAGAACTGAACTAGAACTGAACTAGAACTGAACTAGAAATGAACTAGAAATGAACTAGAACTGAACTAGAACTGAACTAGAACTGAACTAGAACTGAACTAGAACTGAACTAGAACTGAACTAGAACTGAACTAGAACTGAACTAGAACTGAACTAGAACTGAACTAGAACTGAACTAGAACTGAACTAGAACTGAACTAGAACTGAACTAGAACTGAACTAGAACTGAACTAGAACTGAACTAGAACTGAACTAGAACTGAACTAGAACTGAACTAGAACTGAACTAGAACTGAACTAGAACTGAACTAGAACTGAACTAGAAGAACTACTAGAACTGAACTAGAACTGAACTAGAACTGAACTAGAACTGAACTGACTAGAACTAGAACTGAACTAGAACTGAACTAGAACTGAACTAGAACTGAACTAGAACTGAACTAGAACTGAACTAGAACTGAACTAGAACTGAACTAGAACTGAACTGGAACTGAACTGGAATTGAACAAGAAATTTTCAATATATTTTTTTTTTAATTTTTGAAAAAACCAAAAATATGACTACATACATATAATTAAAAAAATATTTTGTTGGTTAAATATAATAACTGCCAGTATTATTTGTATTAGACAGTGCCGAATATTCTCGACTTGGGACAAACAGTGAAGCGTATTATAGTGCGCAATTATAACAACAAAGTAAAATGTTTAAATAATTTATACATATAGTAAAAAATTTCTCTCATAACTCTTAAATGAATGAATAAATTAATTAATTAAATATTTGTCACAATTACTGTAAGTCTTTGCTTGAAAAAAAAAAAACACATTTTTAACAAAATTGTGTTTTTTGAGTTATAAAAATCTAAATATATATAATAATGTAGTTATAAACAGATCATATTTTTACTTGGAACTTTAGTTATTCTAAATATTCTTTTCTTTTTGTCTCTACAGTTTCCGTCTTAATTAAAAGCGAGAGAAAACTACAGCTTTGCAAAAAAAATGGAGATTACACCAGGACGTGCCATGTACAGTCCAGATGAGGAACTTAAACCCTTAAGGCCTCCAAAAACATATCATCCTGAAGCAGCTGCACCATCTTCTAGACTTTCTGTCTATGCGGTTGAATTTGTGCCACGTTACGGAAATGTTATGCCACATAATGTACAAGAACGCTTACAGAAACATCAGAGGCAGTATATACAAAAAAACTATCAACAATACCAACAGCCACAACAACAACAGCAGCCAGCATCATACCAACAACAACAACAACAGCAGCAATCCTATTCCAATGGTTATGGTAATCAACAGCAACAACAATATCAACAATCTACACAAAATATGAATGCTCAAATGGGCTCTATGAATATTTCAACTGTTCAGGATCGTTTACGTAACAGTAATAATGGTGGAGGACGTGGTGGTGGTGGTGGTAGTGGCTATTATCAACAGCAACGTGCCAGTGGTAGTGGTCAACAACAGGATTATCATCAACAAAATAATCATTATCGTTATAATAAAAATCATCACAATCAACAGCAGCAACCTCATCATCATCACCATAATCAAAATCGTTACAGTAATAATCATCACTATCAACAGCAGCAACAACAACAGCAGCAACAATACCAGCAACAGTCGAATGCCTCGGCTGTAGCTGAAAGTGCCAATGATATGGAAAACATTGCTTTGGATTATTTACAAACTGTGATTCAATGTCTTAATCAAAATCCTGGCCAATTCGATAGCATTGCCACACGTTTCATTACCATTTTCGATGGCATGGAGAATAACCACTATGTTTTATCCATAGCCATGGAGGATATATTTGATGAATCTATTAAAAATCCCAATTTCCGTTATATGGGTGCTAAACTGTATAATCTATTGCACATGTTAAATCCCAGCAAGGATTCTTTATTTCATACATTGCTCAAATTCAAACTTGATTTTCATCAGCAACAAGTGCGCGAATATATGCAGAATAAACAAGAAGCCAAGGTACGTGAAACTGCCTTATTTCTGGCGGAACTTTATATGCAGCTAAGAGGTGATGATTCACGCATCTATCTCATTGCTGAGAATATTGTATTCTCATTGAAAGAATTACTTTCTATGGAGGATAATAAGGATAATATACGTTGCATTTGTTTGACTTTGAAATTGGCCGGCTATGATTTGACGGCAGATTGTGCTGCAGAAATGAAAGATATTATTGCTAAACTGGATGCCATTAATTGTCAAAATCCAGGCAAATATCCTTTAGCCAATAATGTAATTTCTCTGCAAAAGAACAATTGGGGACGCAAAGCCATAGGAGCTGATTCTCTGGGCGATCCTGAAACATCAAAACTTCCACAGCCACTGCGTGACAGTGATGATCCGGTATTCTATGGTCCCGATGGACGTGAAATCACCGCCGAAGAATGTGAATTCTTAACTAATGGAGCTGCCGGCACAGCCGCCTCTTCAGACAATGAGGATGATAATGATGATGTTGATTTAGATCCCGAAATGGATGAGGAGACTGAAAGAGATTTTAAACTATTTCTTAAACAAGCTAATAACAAATCATAGGTTATACAACCAATAAACATTTAAAACGAATCATCATCAACAAACCAACCAACCACTAAACGAAATGAAGAACCACAACAACAACAACAACATATTTTTATCATATAAAGAAAACAAAAAAACTAAATATAAAATAAAACCTATAAAAAAACAAAACAAAACTAAATGCTGAAATTACAGTTTGCTTTCAAAATATGCTTAAAAGCACGAAAAATTGTGATGTTTATATAGTCTGCCGTAAAACAGAAAAAAAATTTTTTAAACTTAAATTTATAATAATGTGATATATATTTTTCTCTATTCTAACTATTGTTTTGTTAGCAACATTATCAAGATTATCAAGAAAAAAAAAAGCAAAATCGAATCCCTCAAACAACTACAAATTGTAAAGGAGTTTTTTTTCTCCTGTTTAGTTTTTCATTTTGTTTTTTATTAAATTAAATTTTAAAAAAACATACATTTTTAACTATTATTATCATTTCGTATGCTGTGCATGCTTTAAATTTGTTCCATTTTTTTTATACACATTTTTTTTTTAATTATATATATATATGTAAAGACTTTTTTTTTAAAAAAATTTTCTCATTTAATTATAGAAAAATATATATATGTATGTAACAATAAAAAAAACTATTGCAAAATAATAATAAAAAAAATATACAAATAGAGTTCCTCAACAATTTATTTAAAAAAAAGAAAAGAAAATATATATTTTTTTATTTAATTTCTTTTTTTTTTCTCAATCACTCTTGTTTCATTTAATTAAGTTTATTATAATAACGCGCTTTTTGGCTGTTTTATTTTCTTAGCATTTAATTTTTTGTTTTATTTGTATATTTTTTTTTTCCTTAAATATTTTAGCTCAACTTATTAAAAAAAAAAAAACAAATACAAACTGTAATTTCAGCTTTCTTTTTTATAGTTTTCAACGAATTCTATTTAATTCAAACTAAATTATTAATGTTAAATCTTAAACGAAAAAAAAAACAAAGAAAAAAAATTAATAAAAAATTATATAAGTAACATAAATAAAATAGTTGTACTAGCCTTAAACAAATTAAACCAGATTTTGCAAAAACAACAAAATCTACACTATTCAGCTAACAATTAAACATTTTTTTTTAGTATAGATTTTGAAAATCCCACAAATTATTGCTCAAGTCTTTTTTGTTTGTTTAATAGATTTTCAAAATCATTTGGTTTTTTTATAAACAAGCTAAATTATTGCTGAATAATTAAACTTTTTAAAAATTTAGCAAAATTTTGCAACAAATTATTTTAAAAATTTTCAGTTTTGTAAGTTTCAATTTGAAAACTACAATCCAACTGCAGGCATGAAAAAATCACTTATGATAAGTAGTTCATATAGTAGTCAGAAGATTAGTCTGTAGGCTATAGTCCAATCTATAGTCTAGCATAAAGACTAGACTATAGTCTTGTCTATAGTTTATAGCCAAGTCTATTAGTCTACAGACTAGTCCATAGACTATAGACTAGACTATAGATTAGACTAGACTATAGATTAGACTAGACTATAGATTAGACTATAGACTATACTATATATAGTCTAGACTATACTATATAGTCTAGACTATACTATATATAGTCTAGACTATAGACTATAGACTAGACTATAGACTAGACTATAGACTAGACTATAGACTAGACTATAGACTAGACTATAGACTAGACTATAGACTAGACTATAGACTAGACTATAGACTATACTATAGTCTAGACTATAGACTAGACTATAGACTAGACTATAGACTAGACTATAGACTAGACTATAGACTAGACTATAGACTAGACTATAGACTAGACTATAGACTAGACTATAGACTAGACTATAGACTAGACTATAGACTAGACTATAGACTAGACTATAGACTAGACTATAGACTAGACTATAGACTAGACTATAGACTAGACTATAGACTAGACTATAGACTAGATTATAGACTAGACTATAGACTAGACTATAGACTAGACTATAGACTAGACTATAGACTAGACTATAGACTAGACTATAGACTAGACTATAGACTAGACTATAGACTAGACTATAGACTAGACTATAGACTAGACTATAGACTAGACTATAGACTAGACTATAGACTAGACTATAGACTGGACTATAGACTAGACTATAGACTAGACTAGACTGTAGACTAGACTAGACTAGACTATAGACTAGACTATAGACTAGACTATAGACTAGACTATAGACTAGACTATAGACTAGACTATAGACTAGACTATAGACTAGACTATAGACTAGACTATAGACTAGACTATAGACTAGACTATAGACTAGAAAATACTATATACTAGACTATAGACTAGACTATAGACTAGACTATAGACTAGACTATAGACTAGACTATAGACTAGACTATAGACTAGACTATAGACTAGACTATAGACTAGACTATAGACTAGACTATAGACTAGACTATAGACTAGACTATAGACTAGACTATAGACTAGACTATATACTAGACTATAGACTAGACTATAGACTAGACTATAGAATAGACTATAGAATAGACTATAGACTAGACTATAGACTAGACTATAGACTAGACTATAGACTAGACTATAGACTAGACTATAGACTAGACTATAAACTAGACTATAGACTAGACTAGACTCTAGATTAGACTATAGACTAGACTCTAGACTAGACTATAGACTAGACTCTAGACTAGACTATAGACTAGACTATAGACTAGACTATAGACTAGACTATAGACTAGACTATAGACTAGACTATAGACTAGACTATAGACTTGACTATAGACTAGACTAGACTATAGACTAGACTATAGACTAGACTATAGACTAGACTATAGACTAGACTATAGACTAGACTATAGACTAGACTATAGACTAGCCTATAGACTAGACTATAGACTAGCCTATAGACTAGACTAGACTATAGACTTGACTAGAGACCAGACTAGACTAAAGACTAGACTAGAGACTTGACTAGACTACAGACTAGTCTTTAGCTCAGTATCCATAATCTAGTTTATAGCCTATTCTATTCTATCGTATAGTCTAGTCTATAGTCTTGTCTACAGACTAATCTATAGTCTTGTTAATAGACTATTTTATAGTCTAGTCTACAGACTAGCCTATAGTCGAGTCTATAGACTCCTAGTCTATAGACTATTCCATAATCTAGTCTTTAGCCTAGTCTTCAGTTTAGTCTATAGTCTAGTCCATAGACTAGTCTATAGTCTATTCTATAGTCTAGTCTATAGTCTAGACTAGAGTTTAGTTTATAGTCTTGGCTATATACTAGTCTATCGTATTGTCTATAGAATATTCTGCAGTCTATGGTGTAGCCTACAGTCTAGTCTATAGCCTAGTCTTCAGTTTAGTCTATAGTCTAGTCCATAGCCTAGTCTGTAGCCTAGTATATAGACTAGTCCATAGCGTAGTCTATAGACTAGTCCATAGCCTAGTCTATAGACTAGTCTATAATCTAGTCTATAGACTAGTCTATAATCTAGTCTATAGACTAGTCTATAATCTAGTCTATAGACTAGTCTATAATCTAGTCTATAGACTAGTCTATAATCTAGTCTATAGACTAGTCTATAATCTAGTCTATAGACTAGTCTATAATCTAGTCTATAGACTAGTCCATAGCCTAGTCTATAGACTAGTCTATAATCTAGTCTATAGACTAGTCTATAATCTAGTCTATATACTAGTCTATCGTAGAGTGTATAGTCTATTGTATAGTCTAGTCTATTCTATAGTGTGGTCTATAGTCTATTCTATAGTCTATTCTGTAGTCTATAGTATATTCTATAGTCTACTGTCTAGTCTATACGAATTCACTATTCGAATTTTCTCCTAAAATTTGGTAAATTTGATATTCTGCATTTCGTTATTCAGCCCTATTCTGCATATCGAATCGAATCGAAATTTTCTCTGTTTAGCAACTTTGATCACTAAGTCACTAAAATCACAACTTACAAAAACGTAGCTACGATTTTACGATTCCGTTTCTTTATATATTCCAATAATCTTTATATCGAAGCGTAATTGAATGCGTTAACGTAATCGGTGATGATCAGAACATTCTGACACATTACCAACTTAACCTGCAACTAACGACCATATTGGAAGAGTTCAATGATAAAGCAGGAAAAGTCTCAACACTTTTGTAGGAGTTGTTAGAACCTTCACCATTCTCGTTGTTAAGGAAAGTCTAACACGTTGTGATCTAAGCAATCTATTAGGATTTTTTAAAGGAATTGGTGGGCTGTTATGGTGGGATCGTGTGATTTTCACAATTTGTATTGGTCACCGAATGCAACTCTTTAATCTCTTGATTAGACTATGAACTTGTCTATTATCTAGTCTGTGGACTAGACTATTGACAAGTCTGTAGACTAGTATACTAACTAGCCTATTGATTAGTCTGTGTACTAGATGGTTGGACTATTGACTGGCCTATAGAATAGTTTATTAACTGGAGTAGGGACTATCCTATTAAATAGCTTATGGACTAATCTGTGGACTAGTCTTCGAACTATTCTAATCGAATCTCTAGACTATTGACATATCTATGACTATTCTATTGACAATTCTATTGTATAATCAATTTACTAGACTATCGACTAGTCTATTATTAGTCTATGAACCATGGACTAGTCGACTAGTCAAATCTATTAACTGTAGACTACTCCAAACTTTTGCGTATAAAATGAAAAGTTTTACACAAAATGGAGTTAGTAGTAATAAAATTGTTACATTTCTTAACGATTTTGATTTCGTATTGAAAGCAAATTTCTTAGAAAAGATACACTAACGAAGTATTTTTAACTTTTCACACAAATTAGCTGCTAGTACAATTATAATTTTTAATAATTTAGCTTGAATTATTTGTGGTTTTCATTAAAAATAAAAACAAATTTAGGCTGTTTTTGTATAAGAAAAAAAAAACAAACATAATTTCCAATTGTTTAATAAACACATTTCGTATTATAAAGAGCTGTTTTATATTGTCCCCTTAAAATGCATGTTTTATTATTATTATCTTTAAATAAACATTAATATTACATTCAGCAACACTACTTAAATTTAGTTTTACATAAAATTTATTTAAAAACTTAAATTCTTTTATTAATTTGGTTAAAAAAAAAACGAAACTATAATAACACGGTGAGAAATTGTGTTTTTATTTATTTACAGCAATTGCTTTCAATTTCCTTTTTTTAATATAATTAAATTTTTGTATTTGATTTTTTTTGTTTAAATTTAGCTTGTAACTACTATTGTCCTTAAACATTTTAATATTTTGTGTTTTAATTTGTAATTTGTTTCTTTTGTCAAGACATTTTTATCATTAGATTGTAGTTTATTATTATTATTAATAACATTTCGTCAAGAATTTATTAAATATAACGATGAAAAGCCTCCACTTGTTCTCTATTGTATAACGTTTATTAACAAACGTCATAAACGTAATTTTTTTAAAATTGTAATCTTTATTATTAATACATTACATATGTACGTATATTTTTGTGAACTTCGTAAAATGTTCTGTGAATGAAAATATGAAATTATATATATTTAGAAATACATGTTACATTAAAATGATAAACGATAATTAAAAAAAATATTTGTATGTTTTGCTTTTAGCAAGAATAGGTTATGGCTAGTGTAGTTCTGATCATTTGTAGAACTAAACACTTTTCTAAATATGATAATAATAGTCTGTATTTAACTTAACTTCTCTGAACTTCGATTACTTTCATAATATAAGGAGATCAGCATGAATTTGTTGATCATATCCTCAAATCTAATGACTGTGGCTTAATCTATGGGAAAGTCTATTGACTATTTTATGGAATAGTCATTTAACTACTCTATGGACTAGAATATTGACCACTCTATGAATTAGATTACTATATTGGAATAGTCTTGTCTCGTCTTTAGAATCTTATATAATTTCTGGACTATTCAAAAGATTAGTACCTTGTGTAATATATGGACCAGTTTATTGAATAATATATCAACTAGTCTATGAATTAAACTCTGGACTAGTCCATTAACTAGACTGTGAACTAGTTTATAGACAATCTATTGACTATTCTATTACCCAGTCTATTGTCTAATGTATGAACTAGTCTCTTCATTGCATGTCTATTGACAAGTATATGAAATAGACTATGGACTAATATATTGCCAAATTCTTTGGACTATTCTTTTGACTAGTCACTGGCTCGTCTAAGAACTACATATAATATGGACTAGACTACAAACAAGAATGTAAACTAGTCAGTAAACTAGTTTATAAACTATGGCAGTTCTGCACAATCTACTCTGGATTTCAATAGCCTAGGCCCTAGGCTAAGTAGTTCGTAGACTAGTCAATAGACTAGTGAATAGACTAACCAATAGACTAGTTCTTAGATTAGTCAAGAGAAAAGTCAAACGATTAGTCCATACAACTGACAAATTTATAAAGTGGACTATAGACTAGTTCATAGACCAGTCTGTAAAATAGTCAATAGACCATTCCATAGATAGAGCAATAGACTAATCAGACTAGATAGTCTAAATAGTCCACAGACTAGTGTATAGCCTAGTTTATGGACAAATAAATATAGACTAGTTATTAGACTTATCCATGTACTAGACAATAGACTAATCCATAGACTAATCCATAGGCTATTCCAAATGGAATTGTTTCTTACGATTCCGGTTTTTGTTGGAATTCTATAATGCGATCGTTGCGTAATTGAATGCGTGAACGTCATCGAAATGCAGAATAGGGATGATATTCTGTTTCCATTATGCTACACCGATGACGTATCCTGCTCCTGATAAGCAAGCCTGCGAGTGTCGTCTCAGTTATAATATACTACGAGATGTACCTTTTCATCGTTAATAGACTTTAGAGTCAGTCAATAAATTAGTCAATGATGCAGTCAAAAGACTACTCCAACCTATGTATATACTAATAGACTTATCCATAGACTAATTCATAAACTAGTCAACGAAACGTTCATAGACTAGTACATAGGTTAGTTCATAGACTAGTACATAGATTAGTTCCTATAATAGTACATAGATTAGTTCCTATACTAGTACATAGACTCGTCAATAGAGTAGTCTACAGACTAGTCAATAGACTAGTGAACAGACTAGTGCATAGTCCATATAAGCTAATCCATAGACTATCCAACAGACTATTTAATAGACCAGTTATAAACTAGTCTATATTGGCTAGTCTATAGACGAGTCGATAGACTATTCTATATATGTATTAGTCAATAGACTAGTCCATAAGCTAGTCAATAGACCATTCCATAAACTAGTTCATACATTACTCAATAGGTTAGTCCATATTTCGGACTAATATAGTCTGTTTATCAGTCCATAGACTAGACCATAAACTAGTCGTAGACTAATCAATAGACTATTCTATAGATTTGTCAATAGACTAGTCCATAGGCTGGTAGACTTGTCAATAGACTAGTCCACAGATTAGTAAATAAACTAGTCCATAGACTAGTCAATGGACTAGACAATAGACTAGTCCGTATACTAGTCCATATACTAACAAATGAACTGGCCCATATACTTACTAGGCATTGACTACTCCATAGACTAGTCAATATACTAGATAAAAGACTATTCCATATACATACTTATTAACTAGTTCATAGATTAGTCATTAGAAACGTCTATAGATTATTTAGTCGATAATACGGATTAATATATTAGGTAGTCTATAGACCAGTCCATAGACTTGTCAATAGACTAGTAAATAGACTAATCCATTAACAATCCAACAGACTATTTAATAGACTTGTTATAAACTAGTCTCTATTGGCTAGTCAATAGACTATTCTATATATTAATCAATAGACTAGTCCATAGGCTAGTCAATAGACTATTTCATAAACTAGTTCGTAGATTACTTAATAGATTAATCCATATTACGGACCATAAACCATAGACCATAAACTAGTGAATAGACTATTCCATAGATTTGTCAATAGAATAGTCCATAGGCAGGTAGATAGTCTAGTTCATAGACTTGTCAGTAGACTAGTCTACAGACTAATCAATAGACTAGTCCATAGACTAGTTAATGGACTAGACAATAGACTAGTCAATATACTATTCCATGTACTGACCAATAAACTGACCCTTTTACTAGCCATTAAACTACTGCACAGACTAGTCCATATACTAAAGGCTAGTTCCTAGATTAGCGAATATACATACAAGACCATATACTAGTCAATAGCCTAATCCAGTTCATAACTAGTTCATAGATAAGTCAATAGAAAAATCTATAGATTGATTAGTCGATATGACGGGCTAATATATAGCCTATAGATCCATAGACTTATCAATATACTAGTCCGTAGGCCAGTCGATATACTAATCCATATGCTATGCAATAGATTAGTCCAAAGGCTAGTTAATAGACTAATTTATAGACTAGTTCATAGTATGTAATTAGACTAAACCTTAGACCAGTCAATAAAGCACTCAATAGACAAAAATAAAGTCAACAATCCATAGACTGGACAACAGAAAAGTCCATAAACTAGCCGATAGATTAGTCCATAGTAAATCGACTAAATCATTTTTACATAACAGTGTTAACGGAAAAACTGAATCTTAAAGTGTAGATAACCAGATTTAATATTTGAAACAAAATGAGAAAAAAACAATTTACATTCAAAATCATCTGGCAACCTGTAATGAGAGCCCTGTAAACAACCACCTTGTAGCTAGTTGAACAACAACAAAGTTAACTGTACTAAAAATGTAAAGTGTGAAAACAATAACAAAAAATCTTATTCAGAAAAAAGTGGCTGTTAAAAGAAGAAGCAAACTTGAAAGGAAATCAACAAATAACACAACAGAAGAGTTGCCATATGGGCCAAAAAAAATTAACAGTAATTTGCCACCGATGACAAAATTGAGTTGAAAAGAGCAAGAAGAGTGATAGAATTATGGTAACAGAGGGAGAGAATTCCAATTAGATTTTAGGGTGGGCCATTAATGAGAGATTAAGTACGCTCTCGACTCATTAATGTATCTATTAAATAGAGAGTTAAATGGAATTTTTGTTGTAGTTGTTGTTGTTGCGGCTGTTATTGTAATTGTGGGGACTGTAGAAATATGACGAGTTTTCAAAACCAAACAGTTCGAGTATCTTAGTCGTGGCGTGCGTTTGTTTAACAAAAAACCTAAGCGAATGTAAGAAATTGTTTTTTTTTAAATAAAATTCAAGAATTTAAAAAGAAAAGGAAATTATTTTGTATCCCTAAGATATTAAATATTTTTTTAACAGTGAAGAATTTTTTTATTGAAAATATTATTCTTATTATTCGATTCTTTTTGCAGAAAAAAATTTACAAGCACAAATTGCTTTTTTCAACTAAAAAAGTAAAGAAAAATATTTATCTTAAAGAAAAAGAAATAAATATAAATTAACAACAAAAGAAAAAAGTTTTTTACCAAGAATTTGTGTGGAAAAATTAAAGAAAATACAAATTAAAGAAAAATACCTTAAAAAAGAAGAAAAATATATTAACGAACGAACCCAAAACGAAAACAACTTTCTTTCACAAATTATTACAACAAGAAAAAAAAGAGAAAAATCCAACAACAAAATCAACAAGATAATTGGAATATACAACTAAAACAACAACAATACATACAACTCTTTGAACTTTGTGAAAATAACAACAAAATTAAGGTAAATTTTTAAATTTCATAATAAATAAATTATTATTAACAAAAAAAAAACTAAAGTTCACTAAAGAAACGAAAAAAAAATTAAAAGATTCTTTTTGAATTTGACTTTTTGGGGCTGTGGCTGTTAAATATGAAAAAAAAAAGAATTCATTAAAAAAAACTTGTCTGTAGTAACGACGACAACAACTGAACAAAACAACAACAACACAAGCAGCAAAACAACTTAAAAGCTTATGTAGAATGGTTAATATTATAATAATAACAACAACAAAAACCACTCTACAACAACAACAACAACAAGAGTATACAAATCACAAGCAACATTTCGAAAAAGAAGCAGCAGCAAAACCTATGAAATCAACATTTAATGTGTATGACTTCATAGTCTAAAATTTTTACAAAAAAAAATACAACACAACAAACAACAACACTCGCGCTTACTCATACACACAGATACAAAACACACACCACACAGCTACTCTCAAACATACACACACACTCTGCTACAAATTGTCAAAACATATAAAATGTTCTCATAATAAAATTATTTGTTGTTGTTGCTGCTGCTGTTAGATTTCCATTACGAAGTTGCCACTGTATGAGTTTGGTAAAAAAAACTGGGTTAATGTAATGTTTTTGAAAGGGGGAATGTTGTGGAATTAGTATTATTCTGGAAATAAGAATCAGTTTTAAATTACCTTTTTTAAGGACTAAGCAGCTTTAAGTCAGTTTTTATACCCACCATCAAAAAAGATGGGGGTATATTGATTTTGTCATTCCGTTTGTAACACATCGAAATATTGGTCATAGACCCACAAAAGTATATATGTATATTCTGGGTCCTCATTAAATTCTAAGTCGATCTAGCCATGTCTGTCCGTCTGTCCGTCCGTCTGTCTGTCTGTTGAAAGCACGATAGAGTCCCAATGGAAAGAGCTAGAGGGTTGAAATTTCACATAAATATTTTTTACAGGTAAGGTTTGTTTGGTATTGAAAATGGGCAATATCGGTCCACATTTTCTGATAGCCCCCATACAAGTGGCCCCTCGAAAAGCAGCTTTAACAGCCATAACTTGTTTAAAAATACGAATATAGCGATAAAATTCAACATAAGTAAGTTTCTTATCTGATCCAAAATCATTATGCAAAATTTTATGAGGATCGGTCCATAATTGACCCTACCCCCCATATAAGGTCCCCTTCAGAAAATGACTTTAACGCTCATTACTGGCTTAAAAATACTATTATATAGATTAAATTCGACATAAGTAAGTTTCATACGAGTCCAAATCTATCTAAAAAATTTTATGAGGATCGATCCATGATTGACCCTACCCCCCATATAAGGTCCTCTTTAGAAAATGACTGCAACGCTCATTAATGGCTTAAAAATACGAGTGTAGCGATGAAATTCGACACAAATAAATTTAATACGAAACAAATTCTGTCTACCAAATTATATTAGGATCGACCCATAATTGACACTACCCCCTATATAAGGTTCCCTTCAGAAAATTACTTTAACGCCTAAAAAATACGAGTATATAGATGAAATTCGACATAAGTAAGTTTCATTCTAGTCAAGCGAGGTTTGATGGTGGGTATATAAGATTCGGCATAGCCGAATATAACACTCTTACTTGTTGAATTTCACAAATTTCTTAATCAAATCAAGTTTTCGAGATATCGGGTCTTAAAGTTATATTTGAGACGAGCTTAAATCTTAAATGTTGGTGGAAAACCCTTATATAGAGTTTTATAAACGTATTATCGTCCGACGTTCCGAATCTCAGTTTCCTGGATGTATTTCCAATCGGTGTTCGTGAGGGATCTGGGATAGGAAAGGAACAAATCCGAAAAAGTACACCTAGGTCAATATCGGTCCTGATATGTACTGCTTTAATGAAAATGTTGCTAGGAAACACTTATATAGTGTTTTATGATGGTACTATCGTCCGATGTTCCGAAACTAAGTTTCCTGAACGTAGTTCCAATCAGTGTTCGTGAGAGATGTGGAATAATATTGCTGCCAAGATATTTAGATCTAATTTCACCGAAAGTCTGGCAATGACAAAGAAAGTGTCTCAGAGATTCACAGTCCTCGATACATGCTTTGTATTCCTTTGAATCCGCTTGTCCAATTTTGTCTGTCCATTCAGTATACGTATCATCCTAACCTCAGACTTGTTCATTCTGAGGAGGCTTCTTGTAAAGTTATATTGAAAGGTTTCCAAATGCAGCACTACTTGGATACAAGTTGATCTCTTTGTAAGCATACTTGTAAGATAAGAAAAGAACAGCTAGAAAGACATAAAGGAGATAGATGACACAATGACTGTTGTGTCACAGAAATAGAGATGAAGTATGAAGATTACGTCTAGACTAGTGATAATTTGAAGCTCACGCCCTTTTTGACAAATTTAAGAATGTGACAAGTGGTTCTAATTGAACATTCGATATATCATTGAAGCAGGTCGCACCTATAGTTCAGTGTCAAACCATTTCACGGGCTGAGCAGTTGCAGAGAAGATCGAATACTGTCTAATCTGATTCAGACAACTTCTACAGAAGTCATTAGTCTACTCACTGTTTCATTATTTCAAGTGGATGTATTTCTGGCTTCTTCAACTCACTCGAACAGTTTTACATTCATTAGTTTAATATTATCCACATTCTTTCCCTCTACAGCAAGTACATTTGTTATATCGTTGCCGACTATTCCCTATTGGCCTTTCAACCATATGATAATCATATGATATATTCTTTCGGGGATCATTCTTTCCAAGTTCCCGATAATTTTCATGTCTAGTATGCTATTAGGCACGATATTTGTGTATCTCATTTCAATATATATTTCCAGTATTCATTGATGACGTGTCCTATAATCGATTTTTGTCAATTCGAATATAAGGGCCTGTCACAGAATTTCATTCCGATTGGAAGTGCAATTGATTAAAACATTAAAAATCAATAACTTTAAAGAAAATTCAATTCCACATTGAAATCTTGAAGTGGTTCTATTCCGTTTTGTGACATGTCTCATAGTGAAGGGTCGTTTACCTATAAGTGCCGCTTCATATCTTATATAAGTTTTAATAGGGCATATATCCAATAACGGTTCCAGAGCTTTGGTTAAGGTATTGCTCAAGATCCCTATATTCAAGCAAATCCCCCCCTTAATGATCTTTCCCATCTATTTGTTATTGCAATTAAAGGCAAAAGAAGTATTACCAATACCTCTATCCCGTCAGAGATTATAAACTGATGGTGTCAAATGTCTTCTCGGCCTTTTCTTGGAATGATTTGACCTGGAGTCGAACCAGGGAGCCACGGGAATCGGTAGACCATGGGGCAGAGTATCGGACTTTGACTTGTATTGAAAAGCTGCCTTCGGGGTTCATGTGGTGACTGTGGTTTAAACTCAAACTCGCGGGTGGAGAATGTTGATTAAAAGACTGAAGCACGGTAATGTCTATAATTCGGGATAACAGATACACCGCTGAAGAGTGACTGTGGCATTAAGCGTTGGAAATGAGTTGGTGTATGCGGGCCTAGTCAATCCGTATACCTAGATTGAGTGTGTCGGTTATTTTTCTCAATGAATGTGTCGAATAAATGAGAAATGGTATCAATTGTATGAGATGATACTATTGAATTTTCCTTCCATGTCATGGTATGTTCAGGGCTTACTATGCTCATACCAGACTTACAACAGTGTGTGGAACGGCAGACCCATATACAAAAATTGCCACCAGCGATTTTGGAAGCCTTCTCCAAGTTGGGCCCTAATGTAACTTCAACAGACAGACGGACATGTCAATAACGTCATTACAAGAACAAAATCAAATTATCCCCGTTCTTTTGATAAGATTTTTAAAGCCATTTATTAGATATCTATGCATGTAAGGTAAAATGCTTTTAAAGGACAGAATATTAGAATCTTTTGAATTAGAAATTGTTCAGTTTTTGATCCCCACTCTAAACCAATTCAATTGAATGATGAAAGCTGTAGTTGATATCTAAAAAATTATTTTCTCAACTTCCAAATTTACAAAAAGTAAATATTAACAGATTTTATCGAAGAAATTATTTGCTTGTAAGCTAATGACGTCATTTTGGGGATATTTTCAGAAATTTAACAGGATTCATTGCATTTTCAGCCTTAGCAAACACTGTTTATATTCCCAACATTGCAAGAGAGAGAGAGACTTTGGAAAAAACAAGAGAGACTAACTTATAAATGTGAAAACTTAGCAGAATGTTACTTAAAAAAGGGGGAAAGCTTAGAAGGGCCCACAACAAGAGCTCCACACCATCACAATTTAAGATTGTTTGTTTGACACTATTCTCACTCACTCCCCAACTTAGTAGGAACTTGCTTAGAGTTCACATTTTAGCCAAGTTAAAAGTTTGTTCTACAAAACAAATGGCTTAAACTTTTTTTATATTATTATTCTATAGCTGCTGTTGTTGTTGGTATGTATAATAAAAATATATTTTTATACTAACAACAACTAAACATACATACCTATTTAGTTGTATACTTAAACACTTGCTTATTTATTGTTCTAACGTGTTTTTTATTCGTTCTTTTCAATCTCTCCATTTCTCTTGACAATCTGTTTGTATTTTAGCCATATTTTATAGAATTTGTTTTATTTTTATACGTAGTGTGTTGAAAATGTGCTCATTTTTTACGTTTGGTTAGCTGTTGCTATTAACAACAACAAGCAGCAACAACAATAATAACCTAATAAATGAAAAATAATAACAATAACAATTTACCCGTTTATTAAAATCAAAAAACAAACTTTCAAACATACATACGTACATATGTATGTACGTAGGTACGTATACGTGTTTTTGTAGTTTTTTTTTTAGCCGGGCAGTTTGTCGCCCCTTTTTTTATTCTTTTTTAATTTATTGAAAACTTTGTATCTGCGTGTGTGTGTGTGTATTAGCGTAATTCAAATGTTGTTTTTCTTCTTGTTTCTCTTTGCT